ACATGGACCTGATGGAGAGGGTCCAGAGGAGGGCCACGAGGATGATGAGGGGGATGGAGCACCTCTGCTCCGAGGACAGGCTGAGGGAGCTGGGGTTGTTCAGCCTGGAGAAGAGGAGGCTCCGGGGAGACCTAATAGCAGCCTTCCAGTACCTGAGGGGGGGCTACAGGAAGGCTGGGGAGAGCCTGTTTAGAAAGGGCTGCAGTGACAGGACGAGGGGCAATGGCTTCAAGCTGGAGGGGAACAGATTGAGACTGGAGATGAGGAGAGGGTTCTTCACTGGGAGGGTGGTGGAGCACTGGGACAGGTTGCCCAGGGAGGTGGTTGAGGCCCCTTCCCTGGAGATATTCAAGGGGAGGCTCCATGGGGCAACCTGGTCTAGTTGGGGGTGTCCCTGCTGACTGCGGGGGGGTGGGACGAGATGCCCTTTGGGGGTCCCTTCCAGCCTGGACAACTCTATGATTCTGTGATTCCTTGGGTCTCCCTGTCTCCCCGGGGTCTCTCTCCCCCCCACATTGGGGGTCTCTCTCCCCCGGCGGCAGCACAGACCCCGCGGGTCATGGCTCCGCTCCCCGAGCCCCTATTCCCGAGGGATTTCCCTGGAGCAGTTGGGAAGGAGCTGGGTGGGAAGGAGCTAATCCCAGAGGCGGGATGCTGGCGGCGGAGCCTGGGAGTGAGTCAGCATCCTCCGGCTGCCGGGACGCGCCGCGGGGCCGGGACCGGGACACCGGGAAGGGGCATCGGGAGAGCGAGGGGTCGGCAACGAGCGGCTCCGGGTCCGGGCTGCTCCCGTGGCATCTCCCAGGGATGCCAGCTCCAACTGCCTCCCAGCCTGGAGGAGCTGGGAATAACCCCCCCAGCTCTGGTTTGGGTTTTCCACCTCCCCCCCCCCATTTTCACTTTCTTTCCCACCCCAGACGGGGGTCTGGCTGCATCCCGGGCACTCGTGATCCCTACGGAGCCAGCGGGACCCGGCTCAGCCCCCGGAACGACGCGGCTCCTCCAAGCCCAGGAGGGGGTGGGCGCCGGGAGGGGGGCACTCGGAGAAGAGACAAAACCCTGGGGGTCACCGGAGTTTCAGCTTCGGTGGTTCACACACAGAGAGAGAAAACAGGATTTGTGTTTTCCCTCCGGATCCCATCCCACTCCCCCATGCCAAGGCTGTGGGGCCGTGGCAGGGATTTCCCCGTGCTGGGGGGGGGCAAGGGGGGCACCAGGAGGATCAGAGAGACCACAACCCACAAATGGAAAGTTGTTTGTTGCCGGTTCCCCTTCCTCATCGCCCGCAGACGTGAGCGGGGCCGACGCTTGGCCGAGCCGGGCTCCCCAAACCACAGCCCCCCTGGGGGACCCCGACCCCACCAGGAGAAGGGGGGTCACCCCCCCGGCCTCCCCCCCCGAAGGCTCTGCTGCGGCCTCAGCAGCGTCCCCGGCACAGACTCCGGCCAGATTTCCTTGGTTTGATCCCAAAAAGCACCGGGAGAGCTCGGGCAGGAGGAGGCCGGGCACGGATGAAGTCCAGGATCGCTCCGGCCGAGCGTGACTCTCAGGAGTCGAAGATTTCACAAGTATTTTCACTATTCTGAGCAGAAATCCCCATCGTCCCGGCAGCGACGCAGCCAGGACAGAGAGCGGGACCCGCTGTGCCACCGGGGCATGATGCTCAGCTCGGCTCCATCCACTCTGGAACCCCCCAAAACACGAGGGGGATCCCGGCTGTGCCCCACCAGCACCAGACACTGCCCCAGTGCCCCCCCCGGGCCCGGCAGAGCCCAGTTCCTGGGACAACACGGAGCAACCGCCGCTGGAATCGGCCCCGAAAACGGATCCATCTGCCCTCACTCCTTCCCCAGCTCAGGGGAGCCACAGCCTTGGTCCCAACCTGGCTCCCTCCTTCCCTGGGGCGACTTCTCTGCCGAAAGCTGCTCATCTCACCCCCCCCAAACCGAGCCCTGGTGGCAGGGGGGGCACGGAGGTTGGGGGCACTCGCACAGACCGGGGACACGAGGCAGGAGCTCGCCCCACGGGGACCCGTTAGACTCCATCACCCACTCGCCAGAGGTTCCAAACCAGATCCCATTATCCCTACTCAGATCCCACTCAGGGGGGGGGAAACTGCCAGGATCCCCAGGTGAACGGCGAGACCCCGACACAGAGAGGGACCAGCCAGGACCCACGACCACCAGGAGCTTCACCGGGCACCCGGCCTCGTGCCGCACCTCTCCGTGGCAGCCCACGGGCTCAAACCCCCAAATCTCCTTCTCCAGGACCTCAGGAGCCACGTGGCCGGCAAATCCTGGATGCCTGCAGACCCTAGACCCCCAGCATCACCTGGATCTCCTCCTCCTCCTCCTCATCCTCCTTTTCCACACAGTGAGGTGGGAGCTGCTCAGGTGGGTGCTCCAGGGAGAGCTCTGGACAGAGCCATCGCTGCCCCACGGAGCTGGGAACACTTTGGGGTTTCCTGGAGAAACAGCCCCAAGGCTCCAGATGTTCTCATCAAGCCACCAACATCTGGGGGTGGACGGCTCCGTCCTCACCCCCCCTTGCTCAGCAGGACCCTGGAAGGAGCTGCTTCTCCTGCCCTGGAGCTGCTCCAGGACACACACACCAAAAGCCACAAAATCCCGCCCGCACCAGGGCTCCTCCGAGGATTAAGAAAGATAAAACCACCCGAATTCAGCTTCCCTGGGACAAACCTGGACTGGGGGGGGGGGACACCAGAAGGTCCACAGCCCCCCGAGAAAACCCGCTGCTCCCACCAAAACATCCCCATGCCTGGTGAGAGCCGACTCCACGTCCAGCCATAAAACTCCACGGCTATTTTTGGCACTTTTCCCTGTCACCAACGATTCCTGTCACCTGAGCAAGATTTACAGCACGAAGGGGCCACCAGGGTGAATTTTTTGGGGGGGCACACGTCGAGGCCGCCCCAGGAGAAGGGGGCATCCTCATCCCTCATCAGTTTGCTGATGACACGCTGGAGGGAAGGGATGCCATACAGAGGGACCTGGAGAGGTGGGCCCATGCAAATGGCATGAGGTTCAACCAAGCCAAGTGCAGGGTCCTGCACCTGGGACGTGGCAACCCCAGGCACAAATCCAGGTTGGGGGGAGATGATGGGCTGGAGAGCAGCCCTGAGGAGAAGGACTTGGGGGTGTTGGTGGATGAGAAGCTCAACACAAGCCGGCGGCGCGCGCTGGCAGCCCAGAGAGACAACCCTGTCCTGGGCTGCATCAGGAGAAGTGTGGCCAGCAGGTCTGGGGAGGTGATTCTGCCCCTCTGCTCTGCACTCGTGAGGCCCCACCTGGAATAATTGTGTCCAGCTTTGGAGTCCTCAGCACAGAAAGGACATGGACTGGCTGGAAAAGGTGGGCCACGGAGATGATGAGAGGGATGGAGCACCTCTGTTATGGAGACAGGCTGAGGGAGCTGGGATTGTTCAGCCTGGAGAAGAGGAGGCTCCGGGGAGACCTTAGAGTGGCCTTTCCATACCTGAAGGTGCCTATAGAAGAGCTGGGGAGGGACTCTTTGCCAGGAAGGGTAGTGATAGGACAAGGGGAAACGGTTTGAAATTGGAAGAAAAAAGATTCAGATTAGATCTCAGGAAGAAATTTTTGACTCTGAGGGTGGTGAGACACTGGAACAGGTTGCCCAGGGAAGCTGTGGCTGCCCCATCCCTGGAGGGGTTCAAGGCCAAGGTTGGAGGGGGCTTGGAGCAACCTGCTCTGGTGGGAGGTGTCCCTGCCCAGGGCAGGGGGGTTGGAAATCGATGATTTTTAAGGTCCCTTCCAACCCAAACCATTCTATGATCCTTCGCAGGGCAGGGTTGCGACAGCCCAGCTGGGCTAACTGCTTTCCTGTTGCCAGCCGGGCTTTTCCTATGTCCCAATCGCGCTCGAGCGAGAGCCCCAAAAAGCGTGGGGGGCTCTGCCCAACACCCAGTCGGTACCAGGGGGGGGTCCCGGTTACGGAGGGAGCCTGGGGAGAGCTCCAGGTGACGGAGCAAACCTGAGCCGAGCATCCCACGAAGGCTCTCCTCGTTAGGCGTCCCTCCTTAACGAGGGGGGCCGGGGGGAGATGTCGGGGAGCTCACCCTGCCTCTGCCCCGACCCACACGCCGTGGAACCCCCCCCCCCGATAGCACCGGTTCTCAGCCCCCCGGCCGAGGGATGGGCTCCCCCCACCCAGATAACACCGGCCACCGCTCAAGGCCACCCCGGGAAAGCTTCCCGGAGGGATCCCCCGGCACAAAGCACCGGACTGGAGGGCCCCGGGGGGGTGCCCGGTGCTGCAGGAAGAGGAGCCGGGTGAGCGGGAGGAGGAGGAGGAGGACGACACCGTTTATTGATCCAGGACAGCACCGGGTCCCTCCATCTTGCACCGATTTGGGCATCTCCCGCCCTCGGGGCCGGCTCGGGCAGCCCCGACCGAGATCCGTGCACCGAGAACGGGGACGCTCGCCCGTCCCTCCTCGGGGTGGCCAAAGACACAGCCCCGGAGCCGACCCCGCGGCCCGGCCGGTGCCTCCGGTAGCTTCTCCCGGGGCCCCAGGAGCGGCTCCGGGGGCCAAAGCACCCCCCCGGGGAGCCGTAGATCCTGGGAGAGCTAGGGTTCCTCGGCGGGTCCGGTGCAGAGACGGGCGGGAGAGCTGAAAACCGGGCGGGGGGGGAAACGGGCAGCCCCGGTGTGGAGCCCCGGGATCTCTCCGTGCGCCCCAGACCCCCGCCGCCTCGGGGGGTCTCCCGCCCTCCGTGCCCGCCCTCCCCGCTCCCTCCCCTGACGTTACACCGGGGCCTCGCACCAGCAGACGCGACCCCGGGTCCCGGTACGATCCCCACCCCCGCCGGCCCCTCGGGCACCGCCACCCCCCCCGCGGCACCGAACGGGCCCGGTGACACGGCGGGGACCCCCCGTAGCGACACACACCCCCCCTCACCCACCCAGGGTCCCTCCTCGGGCTCCCCCGGTACCTCAGGCCCGGCCCAGGCCCTCCCGTCGCGGCCCCCGAGCGCACAAACAGCGGCTCAACCAAACCCTCCTGCTGTGGGGCGGGACTAAAAGGCGGCTCGGCCAATCGGCGGCGAGCAGCCTGGCGGCGGGCGCGCCTCTTCCTCTCCGGCGAGGCCAATGGGAAGAGCGGGGAGAGCGGCCCCGCCCAGCCCCGCCCCGAAAAGCCAATCGGCAGCGGGGGAGAGGGCGGATGGGCAGCGCCTCACGGCCAATAGAAGAGACGGGAGGGGTCAGCCAATGGCCGCGACTGGGGCGCGGTTTGGCGTGAGTGACGGGCCGCCGGGCCAACGGGAAGCCCCGCGGCGCGGGGGGCGGCACCACCAACAAATAAGGTGACCTGAAGGGGAGGACCCCCCACCGCGGCAGCAGCCAATCGGAACGCAGGACGCCGCCGCACCGCCCAATCACAGCGCGGAAGCCGCCCGGCCGGGCCAACCCGAGGCCTGGCGGCGCGATGAGTGACGGCGACTCGGGGAGGGGGCGGTGCCGCGGCCAATGGCAGGAGGCGCTGCCCGTGATTGACAGCCGACGGGGCGGTGGCGGGGCGGGCACGGGGACCGGCCCAGCCAATAGCGGCGCTCCAGAGCGCGGGGGGGCGAGGCCAGAGCTGGGGGAGCCCCCGCGGGCGAGGCGGGGCATTTGGGCCATAGGGGCTCCTATAGGGGCCCTATGGGGCCGTGGGGGGTCCTATAGGGGCCAGGCGGGACCGTCTGGCCTGGGGGGTGTGTGTGTGAATGC